CAATGGTAAGAACCCATTGTGGTGAGGTACTCTAGCTGATAATAAACCCCCTTTAGAAAAGGGATCCCCACAGAGACAGATAAAGAGACCAGGCTATCACCAAACTCTTGTTTTCAATAGGTGGTCAATCTGTGTTACCAGTGATTAGAACAGCAAGAATATTTTAGTTTTACTTTCTCACATTTCTCTATGTAAACAATACAGCCTGCCCCCTTGGCTAGTCAGTTCCTAATCTAGTTGGTTTCATTTTCCCCATGCAAAAGCACCAGCACAGCTGGGTTTCCAGCTGGGCTAAAGGAATGAATAATTCTTTAAATAACTATGGCTTTTTAAAAGTGTGAACTTTCTTCTGCTTAGTACTGAATTTTGTGAGCGGACTTTTTCGATAAGTGAATTTAGAGGCTAAGAATTTGTAATTAACCTAAAAATGGGAAGCCCAATGGACATGTATCTGGTTTCAACTATCACTCTCAAATAGGAAATCAATGTGTTTGGATATTCACAGGGTGGAAATGGATGCCTTCACTCCTTAAGTCAAACCCTGCCTTGACACCAGAAAGGAACCTGCTAAAAAGAAAACCCACAGGAGAAAGCAGCAAGATAGGGTGTAATTACACCAAAATACAAGCAATCCTTGGGAATGCAAGACTATTTGCAGAATGAGATACTTTTATATAGCATTGTGAGGAGTTATTATCCCTAGTTAGTCCCCTCTCCCTCTTCCTCTTCCCCTCCCACAAAAGGGAAGAAAACGACTCACAATTATGCCTTGTTTAAAGAAAATTCAGACATTTCATAACCTAAAATGTCAGTGACAGAATTTTGGATCCTTCAATATTTGAAGGATCTATGATTTCTCCAGTGTAGCTACCCCTACTGCCAATGCAGATTCCAGCCCCTCAACGTTTTAGGAAACCTTCTTCTTGAGTTGCAGTGGCCAAACAAATTTATCATGCAGAGGCCTACCTTCTGAAGAATCTCTCTGAACTCAGGGAGGCTGATCTTCAGACAACAGAGGTGCAATCTGTTGCCAGACCTGTATTAAAAGCCTTTGCAGTTTGGTAATCTGTGTGCCACTCATCACTGGCGCAGCCTTAGAGAATCCAGGGTCACCCCAAAACTTGAGGAAGCATCAAGGAAAGACTTGAGTAGAGAAAATGCACACTGCCCAGTACAAACTCCTTCTTCTTGATTCATCCTTATGTTCCAAAAGGAAGGATTATTACTATTTCCATTATTATTAAGCACCAATCCTCTACAGGAAGCTTATCCTTATTCCCCCGTCCTCCAATTGCTAGCACCCTCACTATCTCCTATTTGACCACCTTGCATTTATTTCAAATATATTTTGTATATGTATATATGTATACATATGTATATATTTATACACATACATGTATACATGTGTATACATTTTGTCTCCCCTGAGAGAATGCAAGCCCTTTGCCAGCAGGAACTATATTTTTTTTTGATCCTGTATCCATAGAATCCAGCAAGCACAGTGCCTGGTACATAGTAAGCACCTGATAAATGTTGATTGATTGCCTACTCCCTCTCCACCCTATACCCCCAGTCAAAAACATTGAACACAAAATGATATTGGAAATATATTCCTTCAGGATGTTGTGAAAGTAGACAACAGAATAGCATTTTAAGAGAGGTACAGAAGAAAATGTGGCCACTGGACTGATTCAATTCAATTCAATAAACATTTATTAAGCACCACCATATGCCAGGCTAACTGTGCTAAGCACTGGAGATACAAAAAGAGACAGCTCTCAAAGAGCTTACAATCTAATGGGGGACACAACATAGAAACAAGTATATGTAAAGCAAGCTATGTGCAGAATAAATTATTATCATTATTATTATTTGTCCTTCGTTCTTGAAGAGGACCATGACATCAGGAAGTTGATGTCATGACTTGCAAGTGAGTTGGATTTAAGTGAGGGAGGGCTGTACAAAGTCACCAGCCTCACTCTCTCCTCTGGAGCCATCTGAGTCCAGTGGTCAGATATAGGTCAGGATGAAGAGATGGCCCTGGATGCAGTGGGAGACAGTCTTTTTAAGTTAAGATCTTTCCCAGGTCTCAGTTTGTCTGAGGCAATGCCCATTCAGTGATTAAGGCTACAGGAAAAAATTAAAAGAAGGAAACCACTGGAATTAAGAAGGATTTGGGAAGGCTTCCAGTAGAAGGTGGGATTTTAGTTGGGACTTAAAAGGAAGCCAGGGAGGTCAGTTGTTGGAACAGAGAAGGGAGAGCATTCTGGGCATGAGGGACAGCCACCAAAATTAGGCTCCAGTCTTCACCCTCACCAGTGTATACCACCCAAGGTATTTGACCAATCCTCCTAAAATGGGGCCTTTTAACTGTTCTTCTAAGAATCACATCTCCCAGAACCCAGACTCATGAAAATCTTGATTAAATGATAAAACAATTGAACTTCAGTTACTCAATATGACAGTCACCAAGGGCCAGCTTGCCTATTTTGCTACAGGCCAATCTCCCCCAATAAGAAAATCCCAGCAACCTGATGGCCCAGTAAACTCCTTTTATACACAGAAAACAAAAAATAAAGTTGTTGAGTTTATTTCCTGCTTATCACAAGGTCAGGATGAATAGGTTTCCTTGTATAATATTCCACTACCACATGTGTTTTCTTTAACTTTATTTTAAGGTTCTTTCTTCGAGCTGAAATAGCTTTTACTACTCCATCCATGTTGCCAAAATGCCTACCAGATCTACAAAATGCTTTTTCATTTTCCAGTTTCTAGTGTCTGGACAAAAAAAAAAAGTCATCACATGGACAGAAACCTACCAAATAGCAATTTAAATCAGGATCTTTTCATTTAAAAATGTTTGCTTTCAAACACATCCCCTTCTCCTTAGCAAATTATGATACGTGAGGGCTTTCTCCTTCCCAGTAATTGCAGTTCTAAATTTATCTTTCCCATAGCCAAACCATATACATTGCTTTAGAATGTCCCATCTTAATAACAGACTTTATCTCTACCTCAAAAAGCTTCCTGATTTTCAAATTAACTTATTAATTTGTAGGTCAGGTGGCAAATGAAGAGAGAAGGGGAAACATCCATCAATTCCCAGTATACCTGGAGTTGGCCATCATATCCTCAGTGAACAGGAAAGTGAATCTTTTAAAGATATGTACATTGAACTCCTCAGGCAAGATTCCACAACTTCCCTGCCCATTTCCCACTGAATATATGAACAAGATCCATAACTCCATGAGAAGGTCTCCAGTAAGATGAAATAGACTTGAAGACAAATAGTTCTTGACTGGTCCCAACTGTCCAGCACAGAATAAGTCAAAGTATTAAAATAACAGACAACAGTTTTGCCTCATGTCAGAGTAATGAAGCACTCTTTTCCCCAAACAGGTTTATCTTTTCTGTTGTCCCTATTAAAAGACTACCAAAATTATTCTGGAAGAAGTAAAATAACATGGCTTAACATATACTGCTCAGATATACTCCCTAATACCTGAAATTGTCTACCAGTAGGGAGCTCCAGGAAGCCCTTCAAGTGCCAAATGTCAGGTAGTGGGGAGATGTATTGGGCAATATTTTGAAAGCATGAATCTGGAAGAATGAGGAATGCAAAACTTTTTGATAGTTATTATATATTCTCTGCCTCCCACAGCTTCTCTCCTAGCCATCTCCTGTCTGTTGGTATATTAGTAAACATGCAAACTTTCAAGGAAGTGCAATACATCTGTCATGATTTAGTAGATACATAGTTCAGAAAGTCACTAACTGCACACAATTAGCAAGTTCTCTATTTAGGTAGGTTTGCAGCAATTTGGTATCCAGAGAAAGAAAACAATGAAATAGTTCAACTGCAAAAGCACAAGAAAGACCTGTGCTAAACATTTAGCACATAATCTGGACTGAAAATCCTACCAAGATATTAATACCAGATACAATGACATTTTTAAAACGATGTCTTCTCTCATAGAGAAGATCATTTCATAAAAGACTTCTCACTCCCTCACATCAAATAATCTGCTGAGCAACTCCAATGTCGAAGAGATTTCAAAATGTTACTTCTCTAATCACCTGCATTCTTTTGCTGCACCCAACATCATGGAGATGACAGATGCAGTCACTACATCCTGCTACCGAAGTGTCAGAGCTGAACTTAGAACCGTTTAGAGAAAGTTAACCCAATATTTCATCATCATCATAACCTAGAGAAATACTATGCCTGTTAAGAAACCTCTAAGAGATATACCAGAAACTCTGAACAACAGGCTTTTTCACAGTCCCTGAAATGGATCACCAGGCCCGGTTTACTTGTACTAGAGGTTAAGACCTGACAATGCCAGGCAGTGCTGAGGTTAGGGATAAACACAACACCAAAAAAAAAAATGCCACATGGAGAAAACAATATTAGTTAAAGTCCAACTCTGCCTGCGCCAGCCATGTAGGGATGGGGGTGGGGGTGGGGTCGACGATTCCCTGGGAGAACTTGTGGGCATGGGCCTGCGAAGCCCAATAGAGTGCCCAGTTATTCCTGCAGAGCCAATCCAGCCCATCCAGGGCAGTAGCCCAGAAAGAAGGAGGGGGCCCTCCGGGATCCCTAGCAACCTAATCAAGGCCGCTGAGGCCCCCTCCCGGCCCAACTGCCCCCGGCCCGGCACCGCCCCGGAACTTTCCCTCTCTCCAGCCTCTGCTGGGCTACAATGGCAGCGTTCCAGCCCCACATGCCATCCATCAGCCGCAGATTCCTGCTGGCACAGCCCCAAGGCTCTTCTCACACCCCCCTTCCCCCCACCCCGCACTCCTCCTCTCCCACACACACTTTGAACCTGCTCTTCCCGCACCTCCCCTCACCCACTCGTGCCAGACGTCCTGGGCAGGGGTAGCCCCACCCCCCCAGCTTCTCGACCCCCACACCTGCCAGGCCTAGGCACCTGCGGCACCACCTCGCCCCTCCCCCTTCATCTCCCCCACCCCAGAGGAGGGGGAGGGCGACTCACCGCAATCGATGCACAGGATCCTGCCCACCTCTTTCTTGAGGTTCTTGCCGTTGGTGTCCAGGGGAGGGAAGGCCGTCTTGTAGACCTTGGGCTCTTCGGTGGCCTCCAGAAAAAAGATGTAGCGCTGGTTCCTCTCCACGGGCGCGCAGGAACCCACGGTGATCACCTGGTCCCGCTGCAGCCCCCCGTTCCGAAGCGGCCACTTGTCCAACACCTTCACCAGCGCCGCCCAGCCCGAGACCGGGGGCTCTCGGGTGCTATTCGAGCCCCCGGGCTGGACGAACCCCTGCACCTTGCCCTCCACCACCACGGGCGCCTTGAACGCCTGGTCCTGCACCGACCTGAGGCTGGGCGAATAGCAGGCGAGTGACACCCCGAAGAGCAGCATGGAGAAGCCGGGTGCCGGGTCGCGCCTCATGCCGCCGGCGGCTGCGGCTCCCCAGCGGGCTGCGGCGGCGGCGGCGGCGGCGGCAGCTGCTGTCCCGGCTGCTGGGCTGCGGCTGTGGCTGCGGCCGCGGCTCTGGGGGCGCAGAGGGACGGGCGATGCTGCTGCTGTGGCTGCTGCTGCTGCTGCTGTGGTTGCTGCTGCTGCCGCTGCCGCTGCTGCCGCTGCCGCTGCTGCTGCTGCTGCTGCACGAAGCCTCCTCCAGTGGCGGTGGCGGCACTGAGCAGCAAACCTGCCGCATCTGGCCAGGCCATTTGGGGGGCTCCGCCGCTCAGCCGCCGCCTCGGGAGGGGAAATACAGCCCGTTGGAAAACCGGAAACGGCGTAACGTGATCGCCTCGTAGCCCTCCGCCCGCGGCCGGGCGAGGTAACCTAGCAGGGCAAGGGCGGGGAGGGGACAGCGCTGGCTGCGCAGGCTGGCAGGCAGGCAGGCAGCAGTCCCACCCGGAGCCGATCTGAAGGAGGATGCGGAGGATGTGACACCCGCCCTCCTGCGCCCTCTCCCACGCCCCCGCGGTCCCCTGGGCTCCGTGGGGCACTGGTTTCTGCAGGGGAATTTGGAGCGATACACGGGGAAATACTTTTCCCCTAGGGGAGGTTGCTCTCCCACTTTAGGGGTCCCCTATAGGGATCCTCGGGAATCCCTTCTATGTCTCCCCTCCCGCCGTCCAGTCCCTGCTACCCTTGGCTGATAAAAAGGATCTGAGAGCACAGATTCTTCCCCAGAGCCCCAGCAACCTGGAAAGTAAGGGCTCCAATCTGTCCCCTCGTATTAGAGGACCTGGGAACAACAGGCCTCTAATCTCAGGTGTGCTGGGCCGAGGTTTCAGATTGGAACTGACATCTGAGATCCTTTTTGGACTGAGGAGGCTTCCAAACCCAGTTCATTTGGTCTCCCTAATGGAGACTGCAGAGGTAAGGAGAGATGATGCCAGGGGTGGGACTTGGAGGATGGCTCCCAGTCCTGGGACTCTTTCCTACCCTTCTATAATAATCCTACCTAATCCCTTCAATAATCCTACCTGTAATGCTTACTTCATAAGAGCTGTTATTAGTCTCAAATGAGATAATGTATGTAAAGCATTTTGCAAACTTTAAAGCTCTGTCAGTTGTTAGTCCCATCACCACCATCATTATCCCCCAAATGTGGGTTAGGAAAGGGTTTTTGCCAAGTCCTTGCCCAAGAAGGCGAAAGTAAAGGATTCTTCCCAGGAGATAAGCAAGAGCCTCCCCTTCACAGTATTCACTGGAAGATGGTTTTACAGGATGGAATTCTAGAATTCATTACCTCACACCTATATCTGGACCTACTTGGCCCAGACCTGGTATTCAGGGATTTAATAAAAACAGGTCCCTCTGCCCTATAAGGTACATTATAAACCATCCTGCACCCAGTCAATGACAAGCCAGGAAACTTTATTCTCTATCAATCGATCAATAAACTCCAATCCATCCTCCATTCAGCCACCAAAGTGATTTTCCCGACCATGTCACACCCCATCCAGGTAGACTCCGGTGGATCCTTATCTCCACAGGCATCAAATGCAAAATCCTATTTGACAGTCAAAGCCCTAGATAAGGAAGCCCCCTCCTACATTTCCTGTCTTCTTATATCTTACTTTTGGCCATTATTCTGTAATACAGCAATACTGGCCTCCTGGCTTTTCTTCAAACAAGACACTCCATCTCAGCTCCAGTCATTTTCTCTGGCTGTCCCCCATGCCTGCAATTTTCTCCCTTGTGAGCTCCCCTGCTGACTTCTCTGGCTTCCTTGAAGTCCCAACTAAAATCCCATCTCCTACATGAACACTTTCCCAACCTCTCTTGATTCTAGCCCCTTCCCACTGTTAATCATTTCCTATTTATCCTGTATATTGCATGTTTGCACATATTTGCTTGCATGTTCTCTCCCCCATTAGATTGTAAGCTCCTTGAGGGCAGAGAATGTCTTTCATTTCTTTTTGTATCCACAGCGCTTGGTACATAGTAGGCACTTAATAAATGTTTATCAGTTGATTGATTGTCTTTCAGTCCAGTGCGTATTTTTACTGCTTTTCTGACTGTCTAAGGTACATTTTGAAATACTATTCTACTAAAGTTTCAGAGCCCTTATGCTTATGTCAACAAAAAGTAGAGGGGCTTTCACAGAAACTAAAGAATGGGGAGAAATAATTATCCTTCCTTTGCTCAATATGTGATCTACAAGGAGATGAGCTCTTATAACTGACCTCAACTATTCAATGACTTGAGCAGAGAGCAAAGTATTAAGTTTCCTAAAAGGAGAGCCAAAACTGCTGCTATTCTATTTATATTGGACATATATTAGGTATTCATTAATGGACCAATGTCAATGTGGAGGAAGTCTCTAGTCAAATGCCCCAGGGATCTGTCCTTGGCTTAAACTTGTTGATTCCTTCTTACAATGTGGTGCCTGGCTTTGAACACGCTATTTCAGATGTGGTCTGATGAAGGCAGAGGACACCAGGACTACACCTTTGTTTACTATGCCTCTCTTCATTCAGGTGCTTTTTAAAAAAAAAATTTTTTTAACCATCAAGTCACAGTGTTGATCGGTTGCTCACTAAAATTCTCAGATCTTTTTCAAATGAACAGTCTCTAATCATACTTCTCCTATCCTTATACAACTGATATTTTGAGACCCAGTGCAGGACTGTATACTTATCAAGGGCAGCTAGATGGCACAGTGGACAGAAATCTGGGCCCGGAGCCAGGAAGATCTGAGTTCAAATGTGACCTTGGATACTTATTAGCTGAGGGACCCTGAGCAAGTCACTTAACTCTGTTTGCCTCAGTTTCCTCATCTGTAAAATGAACTGGAGAAGAAAAATGGCAAACCACACCAGTATCTTTGCCAAGAAACCCCAAAGGGAGTTGTAAAGAGTTGGACACAACTGAAATGACTAATATATTTATCCCTATTTAAATCCTATCTTATTATATTTGTCAAGCTGTTTGGTATCCTTACTCTGTCATCCAATGCCTTAACTATTCTTTCAAGATCTGTACCTTCTACAAATTTCATAAGAATGCTATTTGTACATTTATTCAAGTTATTGATAAAAATGTTGAACTTTGTGGGGCCCAGGATTTATGCCTAAATGCACTCCACTAGAGAACTCCCTACAGCTATTTGACATCTATCCATTAATGGTGACTAAAGACCCAAAGGGATCCATTGTCATTTATCCTGTTCTGAATACACCTCACTGTACCAGCTGAGCCACACCTCTCCATCTAGTCCACAAGAAGAGCTTCAGAGATTTTGTCAAAATCTTTGTTGCTTAAATCTAGATAAACTGTCTGTAGAATTCCTTTTATCTACCAGTCTAGTTGCCCTAGGAAAAAACAAACAGAAAATTTGGTACATTGTCATCACCTGTTCTTGGTGAATATTCTGATTCTTTGTATTATCATTTCCCTTTCTAAGTGCTTCCAAATGATCCCTTTAACGATACATCCTAGAATTTGGCTAGAACTCAAAGTCAAGCTCACTAGTCTAGAATTTGAAGATTCTATGTACTTCCTTCCCTTTTTTGAAAATATAGATATTTGCCCATTTCTAATCTGAAGGAACATTTTCCCTTTCTCCATAAGTTTTTACTGACAATGGGTCAGCAATCATATTTGTCAGTTCTCTCAGAATATTTTAAATATATTTCCTCAAGCCTGCAGACTTGACTGCATTGATGACAACCATCTCACTTATCTGTAATTGCACCCCAATGTTAACCATTTAGCCTATCATTTCAAGGCCAAAGTTCACTTTATTGTCAGAGAAAACAAGAACCAAAATTGTAGGTCAGTAGTTATGCCTTCTCTTATCCATTGTCATCATCCAAGCCACTCTGAGCAATGGGCCTAGCATTCCTTTGATTATCTTATTGCCCCCAACATAGCTAATAAAGCCATTTTTGTTGTTCTTAACATTCATTGCCAAGCCAAATACATTCTTAGCTTTAGCTCTTGGTATTACTCTTACAATTAGTTAATCAATCAGCTAACCAACCAGTCATCAACTATTTATTAAGCACCTACTATGTGCCAGGCACCATGCACAGGGAATACAAGTACAAAGAATGAAAAAAAAAATCTCTACTTGTGACAAGCTTATATTTTGAGAGAGACAACAAGTGTATATGAATATATATGTGTGTATATATATATATATAACAAATACAAAGATAATAAATGCAAATATATACAGAGTAGTTAAATACAAGATAGTTTGAGAAGGAGCCTACTAGCACTTGGGGAGTCAGGAAAGGTTTCATGCTTGAGCTGTATCCTTAAGGAAGAGAGGGAAACTATGATGCAGAGGCAAGGCAGCCATGCATATCAGGCAAGGGGGATGGCCAGTGCAAAGACATGGGGCAGGGGGAGGGGAATGGAAGATGAAGAATAGAGAGGCCAGGATCATAAGAGTACAGTAGGGGTGAGTAATTTTCAATAAGGCTGGAAAGCTAGACTGGGAATAGATCAAGTCAGTCAGTCAATCAATGAGAATTTATTAGGCATTTACTATGTGCCAGTTATTGTGCTAAGTGCCAGATTATAGGGCTTTAAAAGCTAAACAGAATAGTTTATATTTTATCCTAAAGGCAATAGGAAGCCACTGGAGTTGGCTGAGTAGGGAATTCAAGTGGTCAGATCTGTCCTTAAGGAAAATTACTTTGGCAGTGATGTGTAGGATGGACTGGAGTTGTGAGAGACTTGAGGAAGTGAGAACAATTATGAGGCTGCTGTAGTAATTTAGATGAGAAGTGATGAGGGCCGGAACTATGGTTGTAGCTATGTGAGTGGATAGAAAGGGTCAGAAGCAAGAGATACTGTGAAAAAAGATAAAATAAAGATTTGGCAACTGACTGGGATATATGAGGTGAGGGAAAGCCAGAAATCAAGAATGATGCTGAGATTATGAACTGGGACACTAGAAGGATGGTGATGCCTTTGACAGAAGTAGGGAAGTTTGGAAGAGGGGAAGATTTAGGAAGAAAGACAATGAGTTCAGTTTGAGACACTGGCTTAAGATGTTTTTTGGACATACGATTTGAAACATCCAAAAAGCAAGCAAGGGCAATCCAGGACTAAAGCTTAAGGGAGAGACTGGGGCTGTATCTGGGAGTCTCTGCTTAGAGATGACAGTTAAATCCATGGAAGATAATAATAATGAGTACTTACATTGTGTATTAAGGTTTGCAAAGTGTCATACATGTTATCCTA